ACCATTAAGGCAAACTAGGCTGTTGCCTAGGGCACCAAGATTTGGGGGTGCCAAAAAGCGGTGCCCCCAATTTTTTTTACAGCATTCCTACGCCCCCTCCCCGAGCGCGCGGTCACCGCTCCACTTCTCCCGCCTCCCAGGCTTGTGGCGCCAATCAGCTGTTTGGCGGCACAAGTCTGGAAAGGGAGGAGAATTAGAGCGGGAGCAGCATGCTCGGGGAGGAGGCGGAGCAGAGATGAGCTGGGGTGGGGAGCTGCTGCGGGGGAGGGGGAACGGGGAGCTGCTGCAGGGCTGGGAGGGGGACGCAAGGTGGAAGTTTCGCCTAGCGCGCGAAACTTCCTTGCACCGGCCCTGCATCCACCCCCATAACGAGTGGCACTGGTGGTGATACTGGGAAACTGGAGTGTCCAAGGGAATTGCTTGTGCGACTTATGGTTAGCCAGTGGGGTAAAACTGAAGTCTTCTCTGTTTGGCTGGTTTGGTTTGCCTTGGTGTGCAATGGAACCCGAGTCTTGGGCTGTAACTGCCCTGCTCTAAGCAATTTGTCCTGACTTGATACTCTCAGTTGGGTCCCACCAAAGCCAGCATCGTTACAAGTTCAATTGGGATTTGTGCAGACACGAGGGTCTGCTTCTGCAGAAGTAGGTGCTGGTCTGGGGCCTAAATCAGGAGACTAGGGGCATGTCTACACAGCCCCGCAGTGCAAACCAAAGTGCTATGCTGTAACTCTCCTGTGTGGAGACTGAAGGTGTGAATAAAAAGTTCCCAATATAGGTTATTTATTACACAAATTGGGAGAAAGTTAAACTCTTAGAATCTTTGTAAAGCGCTTCTGAGGTCCTCTGATGGAAGATGGTGTATGAGGGTTTGATCGTGCACTCAATTAAATCAGTGCTAACACTCCTACTGGCTTAAATGGCACAGGATCAGCCACCACGTGAAGGAAGGATGATGACTATTAATAATGGAAAAACAAGTTCTAATAAAATCCCTTAGACACAGTGCAAATGGCCATTGAAATGAGAGTGCGTTTGAAGTCTCAGTTATGGGAGTGGGATGAGGGAAAGTATTTTGAGATAGAAAAGAATAAATTTAATAGGTAAACATTTAATAGCATTTGACTAGGAGAAGGATGGATTTGGATCACTTAGTAACAATGTGTTCTGCCTTGGGGCTTTCAAACTGTGGTTTTACTAGTCATGCCATGCACCCCTTTCACTCACCTGTGAACATAAATCTGTTTCTTAGAATCTGCCTTAAGAGCTACATTGATGGGGATTTGTATGTGTGTCTCTTCCATCCAGCCAATTTCAGCATCAGACATATGTCAGATCAGAATATGGAATTAAAATAATTTAATCTTCTTTTAATGAAGGAAGAAGCAGCTTGCCCTGAAGACAATTTAGAACAGGCCTTATCTGTGGCTGCATTGCCTTGATCCCTGTCTGATCCCTTTCTAGAGCAGCATTACAGTGCTTCATGAATGGGTTTGAAATTAGAAGTAGGTGAGACTTTCCCTTCGGTAATAGGGATCCATGCCCGAGACAGATATATTTGACTAAACATGACAAGCAAAATCAGGGATTGTTTTATTGGAAACATAAATATGGTAACTAATGAGGACAAAAAAAAACAAATAAACAACTCAGTCTTGTATCCTGGTCCTTCTGATGGTAACGAAATAGTAACCTAGGATTTGCTGCCAAAAAGAGATGACATAACCCAAACAAATATCTCAAACTAGCAAAAGCAAGCTGTCACCATTCAGTACTTGCTACACACTGTACAGTAATCTAATCAAATAAAATATAATTAACTTAACAAGACTATTAAGAAGAATTGCTACGTTCATTTCTTACATCTCCAGATAATAGGTGTGGCCTTTTCTAAAGGAAGAAAGGTGCTTTTAGAAAAGGTACATATGTGTTAGGCATAATAGCGGTATAGGGGCTGGTAAAGCCAACATATCTGATCTGACAGATAATAACAAAACTTCTGCAGGATGCTGTATTGGACCATTAAGGAATGGACACATTTACAGCTTTTGTTCACATTTGTAGGGTATCTAGTTCAACACTATAGCTTTTTATCAATATACCTCCAGATGTCAGTAAAAACAAAATACAGACAGACTTTGGACTGCTGAGAAGATCCAATGTCTAGGTCAAGGAAGAAAAAGAAAAAGGCTATTGGAAGTAGTTTATGGCACCCTTCTAATCTTGCCTGCAAAATATTGTGAAACTCCTCAATTTATAGCCCCAGCTGTGGGGGAACAGCTCCGGTTAAAGACGTCATTGTGCAATGTGTTCAGGCTGAAGCTAGACTAATCAAAACCCTCAAGGAACAGAGTTCAGTATAACATAGAATTTCTCCCAGAGACCTTAGAGACCAAGCATGGCATATTTTGTCCATCAAATCCTCTTGTTTCATAACCACAACCAACCAACAAAATCTCAACCTATATAAGTTTCTTGTGCTGTGTGTTGCCTCCACATGCCTTCTTTTACACTGTTATCACAGACTAGCAGGCAACACAGTAGCAACATGAAGTTCATATTCTTTAAACTACAGTGGAACCTCAGAGTTATGAACACCTTGGGAATGGAGGTTGTTCGTAATGCTGAATAAAACATTATGGTTGTTCTTTCAAAAGTTTACAACTAAACATTGACTTCATACAGCTTTGAAACTTTACTATGCACAGAAGACAAATGCTGCTTTCCCTTTATTTTTTTAGTAGTTTGTTTAACACAGTACTGTGCTGCATTTGCTTTTTTTTTTTTGGTCTCTACTGCTCCCTGATTGAGTACTTCTGGTTCCAAATGAGGTGTGTGTTGACTGGTCAGTTCGTAACTCTGGTGTTCAGAACTCTGAGGTTCTATTGTAGTCATAAATATACCAGGCTTCTCTCTTGCTCATATAGAGCACACATCACTCTCTTTTTAAAGCTCATGGACAAATCAATTTAAAAATCAAAGTATTTAAATGCCTCTGTTCTTCCCATATTGCTTACAGCACGGTGTGCTTTCCAAAGATTCCCCACCCTGTTAAAATCGGAGAGCAAATCTAGTTTGCCTTAAAGTGAGTGCTAACTGGGGCTTGGGCTAGACCTAGAGCGGACTGAGTCTGTGCAATCTTCCTACAAAAAGTTGGGTCGGTGTTGTAACCTGCTGGTAGAATAATAGAAGTGTAGGGCTGGGAGGGACCTCGAGGAGATCTGTTCCATCCCTCTGTGTTGAGGCAGGATTCCTGACGAGTTCATCTAACTTGTTCTTAAGTTACTGCATTGTTAACCTAGTCATGACTATTGCTTCAGCAGACATTCCTACCCAGATCAGATCATTGGGTGGTTTTGTAATATGCACAATGATGGGGAACGTGGCCACCAAATTTATTTTAATTTAACTAGGATTTGAAGATGAAAAGCCAGAGCACTAACCCACTGTTGCCACCCGGTGCCATTTCCCCAGCGTAGTTTGGAAAAGCAGTATGATTCTTTCATTCAGATGGCATAAAGGTGGTACAATTCAGAATGGTGACGGATATAGAGGGAGTAAAGTGCCCGAAGCAAGCAAATTAATCCTCCTTCAAAACCCTACGCGTTGGGAAAAATTAGTTGCTTTGATTTTTACATCTTTCACTCACAGGACCCCTGGCCATGGTAGCTTTACAGGGATTGTATTTTCAACTTCCCCTTGTGCACTAGGCACAAGCAAGTTACAGCTTTCAGTGTCAGGTATTTGCTGTCTTTTCATCTTTTTATTTCACCCAGTGCCGTCCTTAGGCATATGTAGCATACAAGGCATAGGGTACCTGAAAATTTGGGGCACCCCTGGGTCTTCGTGTCCACCCTCCTGCCTTATCCCATCCCTGTTCTTATCTGACCCTTCCTGCAGCTCCCACCACAGCTGGCTGCTGCAGCCTGGTGAGTCTCCCTCCAGAGGGGATCTAGTACTTAAAAGTGAAAAAGCCTTCGAGCCTGCCAGACCTATTAGCACAATATTGAAACTGTTAAAGAGCCATTCAAGTGGTAATGAAGTCATTTAACAGGCATTTGCCAGCCCCCAGGTATATACTGTCAGTTTCTGAATTTACTGACAAAAGCAGTTGTGCAAACTGTAATATTTACTCAGAACATGTTAGTCTACAGGACCTTAGTTTAAAATTTGCTTTTAAAATATTTCATTAGTGTGTTGCTGAAGATTATAAAAATCACATCTCTAAAAAATTCTTGCATAGATTTTTAGATGCACAATCTGAGTATTCATCTTTAGCCTTAAATGCTTGGATCTTCAGACATATAGTTTTTTAAATAAATCCTTCAAAAGACCCCCCCTATCTAAAATTCACATGTGAGCCTGGGTTGCCGTCAGACATAGGGGCACCAGTTTAATAATACTGCATAAGGCCCCATAAATCCTAAGGACGGCCCTGATTTCACCACACATTTACTTTGTCTGTTAACGATGTTCTTGCTGTATCAATGGCAAATGTGACCATATATTCTACACACCTGTTTTTATGGGGGAGAGTGTGGGGAGGGAGTGCACGAAGATTGTATTTCAAATCTCCAGTATCCTAGAACCCAACAGGGAGCGAGCGGTTGACGCTTGACATGCCAAAATGAGGATAACAACACTATGTTTTTTGGTCCCGTCTCCGAAGTGTATGCACAGGCAACTGCAGATCTGAATTCAGCACAGACAGTGCTAAGGTAGTGCTATGCACTTCCTAGGAATCTAGTAACTTCTGTGCTCTGTCAACTGATGGACACTCCCTTTTTGATCGAGTTCTCTGTAAAATGTAGAATGCACACTTAAACTGCAATAAAAGAAGGCTTCCTAATGTTCATACTCAAAAGTTTTGTTCAGCTACAGGCACCTGTACCTCTGCATGTCTAAGTTGGAAGCTTCGGGATATTTTTGTGTTGCCATTGAGGCTGCCCAGAAACAGTGAAAGGATGCATGGAGGAAGGGGAAGAAGTAAAACAGGCAACAAAGTTTGCTCTACACAAAGTCTTGCAGTTTTCACTTGCCTAGCTGCCATTTTTCATGTTCGGTAATCGTTATGAAAAGTCTGAAAGACAGAGAGAATTGTCAGCACTGCTGAAACACAGTTGCTTATCTCAGTCTAGTAGGGAATTCTTAGACTGATAAAATAACAGTTGGCAGTCTTTCATTCCTGAAGCAATGCTTCGCATCTGGGTACGACTGCACCTTTCGCTCATACAGGTGTTTTGAAGAGTGTTTTGAAACCAGCACAAGGGCTGATTAGAAGTGGCAGACCAAAGCAGTTGGATTTTGCTCTCTCCTCTGTCAGAGAAGGTTTTTGCCATTTGTCTTGGCCCACGCTCTGGAAACACTATGTCATTCATGTTGCAGATAATGCTGCCGTCCTTGGCTTCAACATAGTGTCCTTAGCTTCACCATTCTCTTGGTACATCACTAGCTGCCCAAATTCTCTGAGAATTTTCCATTTAAACATGTGCTGTAAAGACAAAATAATTATTAGTTTTATAGACAAAAACTACTAATGTGCTTGACTGACAATCAATGAACAGAGAAAGATCATGACGTCAAAGATAGGAAAGGCCCATTAGCCCAGATCCTGCACATGCACAGAGCCCCATGATTTTAATAGGACTCCAGTCAGGCCCTGGAGTCCATCAGTGCAGATCTAGTTGTAGGGTCTAGGCCTTAATCTTCAGGTGCATCTCACCCTGCAAATGCAAGAAATGCCCCCTCTCCCTCAAACAGAGGCCTACTTTAACATTGCTTAGTTTCAGTTGCTGCTAGAATAAAGAGGCATTAACTTTAAAAATTCCTGTATTGTAGCAATATAGCCAAGCCTCAGTTGACCCTCTTATTTTCATATCAGTGAGGATTTCCCAATAAATGATCTGACCTTCCGTAAGGTGAAAATTAAATTGCTAAAGCAGAAGAATTTTTTGTTTTAATACTAAAAAGTGGAATGGCCACTTCAATCTGCCCAGGGTGTTGTTTCACATGGGGCTACATGCACCCTGCACCACTAGACTGAAAAGCTAAAATGACGTAGGGCCAGATCCTCTGGTGCATTAGGAAAGCTTTGCACTGCTCCCTCAGCACAAAATGGTTCTAAAACTAGTAGATGCAGGAGAATCAGTCTAATATAGGGGACCCATCCCTGCAGTGAGTCCCGAACCACCTCTCCTTCCCATGTCTGGTACTGGGCTGTGCCTGGGGGAAAGGGAGAGTGGGCCTGGCTTGCTCCTACACTCTGTTGTTAGCCAAAGCAAACCAGATTAGTCTTTAGGGGTCTGACCCTGAGCAGAGAGAACCCCAACCTGCAGGGGAGGAGTTTCTTTTTTTAATGTGTCCATACGGTGCCCAGCACCATGGGGCTCCACCATAAAACAAATATTTACTACAACCAATATTAATGTGGCACAAGTAGTTTTTCACTTAACTACATATTTATGAGCCAGGTCCTGGGGTCTGGCCAAGAAGCACTCAATATAAGTCAAGAGGAGACTTTAAATAAACTGCTTGTACCATGTAAACAGACTTTGCTGTCTGGAGGAGAAAACCCATTGTTTATAAAAGGTCATTAAGCAGGAAATAGTTTAATGCCTGTTGATTTTAAAATGGGAACAACTGTGTTGAATCAGCCCAGAATGGCCTGGGGAGTGTATAAAACAACTGTTCATTAAACCGGTTTATATATCAAATGCAAAGCTAAGCATTTTTTGATGTGAAGGATGCTTGCTTGCATTAGATATTTTAAGTCGTATTTGTGCAGCGCAGTTTGTTATAGCAGCTGTTTATATGCTTTTAAAGCAGTGTATTTTCTGGACTTTTATACAGTAATTCCCCACAGATCCAGTGTATCTCTAGCTAATTTTGCAGATGCAGCACAGGATATGGTTAACACTTGTCACACAATAAATAATATCAAGTAGCCTCCAAACAATCCTATCTCTGTCCACTTTCACTAAATCTGAGTTTGTTTTTAAATCATGCCTTGTTTTCTTTCATTACAAATGGGTACTGCCCTTCTAAACTGGCCTGCCACATTACATCTTGTACTCTTGGCCATTAAAATGTTAACAGACTGTAGGTTTAGACTATATTTCTTCGTTAGGGAAAGGAGAGTACATAACGCATGTTCTAAAGATATGGGCAAGATTCTGAGGTGGTGTAAACAGGCATAGATCCACTGAAGTAAATGGAACTATCTGGATTTGAACAAGGGGAGGATTTGTCCCCCTAAGAGGTGGTACACAGAAAGGAAGAGAGCAGCACTTTTGAGGCATATACTGAATTTGTATGAAGTCAGAAATGGTTAATCTTGGGCAGTTTAAAAACAAATCAAATATTTTGTAGAGAGCTGTGGCACTGGAACCCTGAAGTTACGTAGCTCCTAAGACACTTATGGTAAGTGCGTGTCTGATCTTTCACTACTTACTATTCTGCTGTGCTCCATCTTCATTTTGTTGAACATCTGTTAAAAGAAATGCAGCATTTTAAATATGTGAGGTGGTTATTATCTCTTCTTTGCAGTAGCCCCAAGGAGCATCAATAAAGAATCAAAGCTCCATTGTGCTAGGCCAGGGGTAGGCAACCTATGGCACGCGTGCCAAAGGCGGCACGCGAGCTGATTTTCAGTGGCACTCACACTGCCCAGGTCCTAGCAACCGGTCCAGGGGGCTCTGCATTTTAATTGAATTTTAAATGAAGCTTCTTAAACATTTTAAAAACCTTATTTACTTTGCAAACAACAATAGTTTAATTACATATTATAGACTTATAGAAAGAGACCTTCTAAAAACGTTAAAATGTATTACTGGCATGCAAAACCTTAAATTAGAGTGAATAAATGAAGACTTGGCACAACACTTCTGAAAGATTGCCGACCCCTGGGCTAGGCATTATGCAAACAGTCCCTGCCTCCAAGAGCTTACAGTGTAGGTTATGATAAGAGGCAACAGGTGGATGGAACCCACAAATGGAAGAGGAGGATGAGGCAACAGGAAAGCAGGCAAATCATTGTACAGTTAGCAAATATCTTTGCTCACTACCTCTCTAGCCTTATAAGGATGAAAACATTAGAACAGTCTAAAGATACAAATTAAGGTTTTATAAATTTCCAGGCCTTTATGAATAATTCCAGCTTGGCTCTACACAACATTAATCTTCATGAGAAAAAGTTACGAGCCTCAGGTTTGTTGGGCCAAGTGATCTTCTTGTCTAGCAATTCATCTTACACTTAATTATTTATCCTGAGTCTGGCACAGTTACAACTACACTGCATAACTTAGTTACCTCAATATTACATAATGGAGTTTGGATGCTGAGACTATGGCTTTAAATCACAGCCCTGCAATGGTTTGGAGTGGCTTTGCACCACCCTGTGGCAGTTCCAAGAGGTATTGTGCCTCAGGGAAGCGCAAAGCCCCAAGTGAGCACAGCTGATGCAGAAGGAGGCAGGTCCCTGCTTTCTCACCACCCCTTTGGGAGTGCCTAGTGCTGCTAGCCAGTAGCAACCTTTGAATGTGGCTAGCCCCTGCATGAGGACAAAGAAGGAAAGCTCTTTGTGTTCCCCCAGTCTTACATGCTCTCCCTGGCATCTCTGCAATTTGCCCCACAATAAGAGCTCACATACATGGGTAAATATTGGAGCTGGCTGGGAATTTTTTGATGAAACTTTTTTTTTCTGGAAAATGCTGCTTTGTTAAAACTGACACTTCCCATGGGAAATGGTTGGTTTGGATGAAACATTAGTCAGGAGGGTTTCTCAGGTTCAGGTTGGAATATTTTTTTGAAGGGATGGGGAGGAAGGATCAGAGAAAGACCCACCACTGAATAGCCAATAGTCCAGTGAACTCATTTAGGATGTGGGAGACCCCAGGTTCAAACCCCTGCCCAGGGCTCCCACATCCCAGATGAGTGCCTTAACCACCAGGCTATTGGTTATTCTGGGGTGATTCTCTCTCATTTTTTGCAAAAATATTCATCAGGTGTCTGTTTCATTCTGATGCGGACTGGAACTTTTTTTTTTTTTCAAAATCTCAAATTTTCACCATATGGGACAACAGTTCCACCCCCATCCCCTCAGCTCTAGTATATCTTCAGCCTTGTTATCGAGACATCTATTGGAGCTCTCTTTTGTTTTATCTTGTAAAGTGCTGAAATTTCTGTGTGGGCAGCTACAGAAATGCAAGCAATCACATTTGTAAATGAGGATTTGTTTGCTTGTTTGTTACATGGAATCCTAGTAAGAGATGATTGGTTGTCACTTGGGAAATTGTAGGAAACTGGTAGAGTAGGGAATTTGTAAAAGGATCTGGAGCCTTTCATCTAGGGGCTAGACTTGGTGACCTCTCAAGGTCCCTGCCAGCCCTAAACTTCTATGATTTGGTAAATCATTGATTCTAATCTTCTCAAGACAGGTGATAATCCCCAGTGATTATCATCCGGTTTTGGTTTGGTCTATATGAACTGTGTGTGTGATCTCAGTCCAGTTCTTAATGGAAAGCTGTCCATATTGCACAAACCCCTCCTTATCATTACACTCCTTTTGTAGATAGTCTCGGCAGAGAAGCCAAAGACTGAATAGATGTGGAGCCCGAATTACCATTGTATTCAAAGGAATGGTTCCTCAGGTGTGAGGTACGTTGGTATAACACCATGAAAAAGTTTACACTGCTACTTCTCATGATGTACCAGTTCTGTGGCTACTTAGGAGTATAGCTCCCACTGTTGTCAACTCAGCACTTGTCATATGCTCTAGTTTCACTTATAATGTAGAGAATTCACAACTACGTATGACAAATTGTAGAATATGAAATATTTTGGAAAAATGAAAAGAACTAGAATATATATATCTGACCAACAAGCGTAAATGGTTTAATTACCGGCATATGATCTCCGGTGACGGAATTTCCTTTTCCACAGCCAGCAGGTTAAAACAGCTAGACCAGCTAACACAATGGCAATGGCAAGGACACCTCCAGCCTGAGCTCCTGGTTCATTTAGATCTAACAGATTGCTTCTGGTCGAGTTAGAGTTTGTGACGTTTTCCGAGTCTGAAGAGGAATAGAGAAAAGGAGAGAGATGCTCTCAAACTTCATTCCAGATGAGCGTTCAACTGCATTTTATAGACATGAGATTCACAAAAGTCTATAGGCTTCTATAGCCCTCCTATACAAATAACTTTCATCCCATCACCACCAATATTTTCTGAACAAGGCCAAATTTCTACCTACATGGTTTTTAATTATTAATCAATATTACACACACTTTTTAGGCATACATTTTCCTCCCGTGGAAGGATTTAGTAACACAACTTCTCTTGAAAATGACAGCACTATGTGTGTTCAAGTGACAAAGTCCTGCCCACACCAAAGCTGGCTGTCATTTTGGATATGCTCTTCTGAGAAAGGAATCTACTGAACAGCTTTCGAAGATTAGTTTTTGGGTGATTTGTTGTACTCAAAATTAGACTTGTTTTCAAACAAGAATGAGGGCCAGATCCTTAGCTGGGGTAAGTTGTAACTCCCTGGATATCTGGTCCCGAAGCTTTCAAAGCCTCACCAATGACCATGAGGATTCCCTAAAGAGACAACCCAAAATGGCAGCCACGCTTTGGCAATTGCCATGAGACCCTGCAGTTCATCCTGCAGGTCACCACACTACACAAGTGACAGCACTAGGGAGTACATATTGTTGTGCCTGTATATTTATTTATATATTACCAATCCACAGATACACAATGATATGACTTTAAAATTGTTGCTGCCTCATTGGACCAAGTACAGGATTTTGTAGGCTCCTGCGGGAGCCATGAAGACTCAGCTGCCATCGTGACGTCGTTCCTTTAGTGGAGAAAATCCCCTACAACCATTTTAAAAACTTTGTTTCCTACTCCAAAAACCTACTGAAATGAGATTTCTATGAAAATTTAGCTTCTAATAAGTATCTCTGGCAGAATAATTGTTCACATATGCCTTAAGAATAGGGTTGCTAACCCTCCAAGATTGGCCTGGAGTCTCCAGAAATTAAAGATTAATCTTTAATTAAAGATTATGTCATGTGATGAAATCCCCGGGAATACATCCAATCAGAATTGGGAACCCTACATAAGAAGCCCCATCCTTTCCTCAGGGCACTTGCTGGTTTGGTTGTGCTGCTTCGTTTCCTCCTGGCTAGTAGGGACGATGCCCCAGTAAGGGACAAGAGAGGTGATGAGAAAGCTCCGATATCTTCTGGTCCCTGCCCACAACACAAGTTGTGTCCTCTCCCCACCTTCTCAGGGCCAGCTCATATCATATTCTTAACCCCATAGCCTATTCTTCTTCTGCCCTGTCTCAGGAGATATTCACCACTTTTCCTCCTCTTTTCCTGGTTCCAGATTCCCCTTCCATTCAGCAACCATGGCAGACAGTAGGTTTGAGCTGTTGCCTATAGACTTGTATTTTTTTTTAATATCTGCTGTAAATAAGCAATAAAATCAGCACATGTGCATTCAGAATAATGGGTGAAATCCTGGCCCTATTGGAGTCAATGGCAAAATTCCCATTGACTTCAGTGGGGTTACGTTTTTTTGTTTGTTTGCTTGCTTCTAAAAACATTAGAGCGATGTATTCTGGAAAAGTTAATCAACCTTATAAAAGGTAAAATAATTCTTTTCAGAATGAATGTGACAAAATGTCTTTAGGAAGATAATAGTGAATGGGTTATTCCTATTTCCTACAGGGTGGAATGTTGGCACTAGCAAGCTACCAAATGCCTCTTATCTTGCAATCTGTACTCATGTATGCGTGATCTTTGCTCACGCTAGTAATCACATTGATTTCATTGGTATTACTTCACTGAGTTTGCAAGATAGATCCCTTTAGCTCTGACCCTGCAGCTGGCTCTGCAAAGGCATGGGGGTCTACCCACATAGTGCTGCTTGCAGGATCAGGGCCTAAGATTGCAATGTCTGGGGCAAGGCTTTATCTTGTCTTTATGCTTGTCTGTAAGGCATCTATCACACTACTGGTGCTACAGCGTGTAAATATAGATTTGTACAGAACAGGAAAAGTTATCTGTTTTATGAATTTGAGTGGCTAAGTCTTGGTTTTTATTACTAATAACTTCCATCAGCAATAAATGGTCTATCATCCATGTGTCTCTCATTGATTGTTCTGAATGCTTTGGCCTAATACCATTTCCAGTTATTTGGTGCTTGGATGAATAATCCAGTTAGACATTTGGTACAAACCTAGTTTCAAATGTCTCTTTGTCTTCAAAGCAGCTTTGGAGACTGAAAACAGAACTTTAAAACTACCCACAGAAGGAGCATAGCTAAGAGAGTGGTTGTCAACCAATGTGGTGGGACTTCAGGAGTCATGGATCCACTACATATTAAAATGTCTTTCCTTTAAAAATAAGCCTTCAGCACTGAGCTAGGCCTAGCGTGGTTCCCACAGGAGCTGAAGGGGGAATCATAGTGATTCCAAAACTGTTTCAGGGGAGTGGGAGAGAACTTCTGTGATCAGGATGGTGCTTCTTACTTCCACACAGAGGAATGGTGATCTGTGTTCAGATCTAGGAGGCCTAAGAGGGTGTTTAGCTTCATTTGAAAAAAGTCACATTTAAATATAAACACTGTGGCCTAAATTTATATAGGCTTTAAAAATTAAACTCATTTCAGTAGGTTACTGGACTATCATGCTGTTAATTAGGCTGCTACTCATCAGAGATGTACATGTAGACACACGCACACCTGTTATTTGCCAAATATTAAGCAACTTACAGAGGATAGTTAGATTTTGCTGTAGTAGTTCATTTTCTATGATGCATCCTATTTTTATATCAGAATTCGCTTCAATCTTCAGTGTGCTGAAAACACTGTATGTGCCATCATTGTCTTGGATGATCTTTAATGATGATGGATGGAGGGAGCTGTTGTCTGTTCTATTTATCCAGTAAATGTTTGGCTTTGGGTATCCTTGGCTATAGTTGCAACTTAATGTCACCTCTTCTCCAATATTTGGGTGGATTCTTATAGGTCCACTTAGTACTGGCAGGCTGTTATTGGCTGGAAAAGGAAAAAACATTAGCATTTTATAATCTTTTCAAAAGATTAAGGAATGACTCAGATTATAGAGCGGAGGTTCTGGGGATTATAAACTCATAGCTCAGACATAAATATCAGCCTGCATGGACATTAGGCCAATTACTTCAGTGATTTACTGAAGGAGTCAGAAGGCCAAACCAAAGGGGAAAAGGGTCTTAAACTCACTTCAGTAGCATTTTGCAAGAAGATTCTGAACTAACTCAGAGAAGGCCCCACCATGGAAGAGGTTGTAAGAGACGTATCAGAGAGCAGAGCTCTCCCAACTGTTCTCCTTGTGGAGATCCCCCATAATGCCTATCAGGGTAGATGGGGATACACACACAGTTGCACAGAGGAAGCCCTGCCTCCAAGCTTGGCAGAACTGCATGAGGCTAGGGCCATCCACATGGAGATCCTATGTCCTATGCACTGGCTTTAGCAGCTTCTTTCCCTGGCAACACAGTTCCATTGCACAAATAAGGAACCCTGGACCACGCAGAGAGACTTCTGCAGGTGACAGGAGTGGGTGTATGGTTGTAAGGAACTGGCTGATCTCCCTATTTCCACATGGAGGAATACAATCCATGCGTGGATCTAAGAGGCAAAATCCAGGCCTTCCTTTGCACACAGTACTATTTTAAAGCTATTTGGGGCTAACTGACTTTGTCTCTTTCAGTCTTCCAACATATCACAAAGCAACAAAGAGTGGTATATGAAGGCAGATCAGATTAACAAATGAAGTACTGCTTTACACCACAAACAACTCTTTACAACATAAATTCCCAGCTTGCTTACAAAATATTGTTTTCATTAAATAATTTTCCAACTGGATAAACTTCCAGAGGACATGGATACGTTTCACAAGGGACAGGGCTTTAATTCTGAGAGTGGCAGGAAGCCCAAAAGAGGATCTACTCTTATTTCCAGTTTACTGCCTAAGGCTATGATCCTACAGTCAGATTCACCCCAACACCTTCAATAGGGTGTTGCCCAGAGGCACTGGCTCATGATCATCAGATGGGAGGATTAGGGACTAACTTTTTTTTTTAAGCTCAGATTCTGGCCAAAGTGAGGCCACTGCTTCTTCACATCTGTGAGCTGTGGGAACTGCACAGTAACATTTGCTCCAAGCGGAACTGTTTATGACAGCCAGAAATGAAGAGTCAGTTAAGCAGAGTTAGAATTGCTATCCGCAGCTTCAGAGTCACTGCCTTGGATTTTATTAGGATGGGGATGGTGTGAATAAATGCAATAAGGCAGAGGAGCTCAGAGGTTATGAAACCTATACTGGTGAAAATAAAATAGATCACTTCATCATTCCAAGCAGAAAGAAATATGGGGGGGGGAGTATGGGGGGGGGGGAAGATGGGGACCAGAACAGCTGCTGGAAGAGAGCCAAAAATTAGGAGTGTACCAAATAGCTAATCGTCACTTTTTTTATTTGTATTATATAGCATTTAAGATCCCCAGTCACAGAACTGGACCCTGTTGTGCTCGTGCTATACAAACGGGACAAAAGATGGCCCCTGTCCTAAACAGTCCTTGGTTCAGCCAGGTACTTAAGCACATCCATAACTTTAACATGTTTAAGTGTGTTGCTGAAGCTGAGCTAATCTGACTAGCTGGAATTGTTATATGGGTGAAGCCAAATAGCTATACAGTTACTGAATAATGAAGTATAAATATATTAAAGTGGATCATTACAGCAGAATGTTTGTAATGAGAATCAACACCAACCGTAAATCAGCCTCCCAAAACATGGCACAATATATATTGCTCTTTCTATTGCATTTGGTTACTAACTTATTGCCATTTCAAAATATACTGATAACACTGCACTGCAAATGGAACATTACTTGTGGTTCCATTATGCGCACATTGGGATTTCTCTCACCCTTTGTCCTAATTAAAGCTTGTTTTCCAAAATACATTTTGGCACCTGATTCTGAAAAAAAAATTACTTTTACTCCCTACCCCAAATCTGTGTTGGGTTCATATCACATCTGACTCTCGGGAGAGGGGCAGGGGAAGCAGTAGTGCCAGCCACGCCACAGGTATCATTGGGCTTTGGAAGGTCATTAAAAAAATAGTCATCTGAAGACAAATAACAAAACTGTCACTGGGATTTGGCCAAGTACTTGTCTGAGTCAGAATTTGGGTACAGTCCTGCCTGAAACTGACTTGTTTAACTACCCTCTCAGTAAACATAAGTGTTCCCTCGCCCTTTGTCCCTCCCTGAACAGCTGAGGGAAGGGTAAACCAAACAGTCTGTGCTTCAAAAGTTGGAGGACTAGATGGTTTTGAATAGTTTATTGTGATACTGTCCTTGACCGAGTTAAAAGCTTGGATTGTCTAAGGGAGGCAAATTAGTGTGGTGGCACCACCACCATTTGGGGCATGAGGAAATCCTCCTCCCTTAGCCTATTGTGTGACAAATGCTCCTTCTGCAGCATCCACAGAGATCTAGGGTGGCAAACTGCTGTTTAATATTGGTTTTATATGGAATAGAAGGGCTTACCTGCTACCTTGAGGGCCACATCTGCATTGTGAATAACCCTGAAAACCACGTCCTTTTTCTGTACTATGCACCGGTATGTGTGTTCATCTCTTAGGCTGACGTTTAGCAGCAGCAGAGAAAAAATGCCATTTTCCAGCTTATCCTGAAATAATCGAGTCCTGTTTCTGAAGTCTGCACACTGCTCGCTTTGGTTCTCATGACCAGAATTAAAGGTGTGTACCACTGAACATGGTTTTGAACCATCTGCTATTTGCCAAAAGACCCGTAGCTTATTTAAAATGAATTTTTTCTCTGGAGTATAAATGCAACTCAGTTCAGCAGTGCTGCCTATTGTGCTGATAACTTTCTTATCTTCCTCTGCAGTAACTAGAAAGATAAAAAGGGGAACAAAGAGAAAATCAGTCTGAAGAAAAGCAGTTTAATATACTTGTCACAATTCTACTTACCAGCTTGTTTGAAAAGGAGTACTTATATTTTCAAAACAAGAATATCAATATTCACTTGTTTGTAAAGAAAAATAATTGCTTAGGGCCAAGTTCTGATCTCATTGCCACCAAAGAAGGGAGAAAGTATGATCAAGTGATAAGGACACAGGTTCAAAGTTCTCTTCTCTGCCACCAACTTTTAGTGTGACATTGAGCAAGCCACTTAATCTCTCTGCTTCTCAATTCCCCATCTGTAAAATGGGGATTAAAATGGAGACAATAGCACTTCCCCACCTCACCAGGGTGTTGTGAGAACAAATACATTAAAGATTGTGAGGTGCTTAAGTAAAGGGGTGAGAGGCATACAAATACCTACAATAGAAACAAAGTAACTGTGACTCCACTTGAGGTACTCCTTGCTTGCACTGGTATTACTGATCCTTAAAGATCATGTGTAGCATTATGTATCCATTTGTAACAATTTATCAAGGGATGTGATGGATTCTCATCTCATCTCTGACAATTTTTAAATCAAGATTGGATGTTTTTTTCTAAAAGATGTGCATTAGGAACTATTTTGGGGAAGGTGTATGGCCTGTGTTATACAGGTGATCAGACTAGATGATTACAATTGTCCTTTCTGGTCTTGGAATCTCTGAACAAACATTATATGGTCCCCATGTTAAACGGACAACAAATAGCAAAATTAACGTAAAGAATAGCAGCTCCTTAAAACACAAAGAAATAAAATATTGGTTTTGAGAAGATATTTTCCACGGGCAAAATTCAGACACTCAGGCATGTTGACTGGAACCTATGTACATGGGTGGACCTGTTTAAATCAATGGGACTAGACCCAGGGCCGGTCCTAGACCAAATGGCGCCCCATGCAAGGAGCGTCTTTGGTGCCCCCCCATTTGTTAAACTTTTGAATACCTTACAGCACCCCAAACTCAGTGCCCCTCAAGCCCTTCACCCTAGGCAATCATCTGGGTCGCCTGTCCCTAAATGCGTCCCCGACTACACCCATGAGAAAGTAATATACACTGTGAGGAAGGGTGACAGATTATAGCACTGTATGGAGAATTTTTTCCTGAAATTCTGTTAAGTTTAAGTGAAGGACTCTAGACATCGAACCTACATTAAAATCAATAATCACTTTTACTGTACTAATGATGAGTGCAAATGAAAGTAACTCTTGGACTGCCAGACCCACACCCAAGCTCACTCAGCACATTGTCCCTTGCAGGACTGAAACTTAAACTTAGGTGTTCTATTCTATGCATCTGATGAAGTGGGCTGTAGCCCACGAAAGCTTATGCTCAAATAAATTTGTTAGTCTCTAAGGTGCCACAAATACTCCTGTTCTTTTTGTGAAACTTAAAAGATTCCAATCTATTAATATAAAATAAAGCTTCTTAAACTGTGCCCATCTGTCTCCCAGGGGTTCTTCAGGTTTCCCTTCCCTACATTTTCACTTCTTCCATGCCCTCGGATATCTCATATCCATGACAGCCATCCTCTCTGGAGGGAGGGCTGGATAATCTTTCAGTTGTCTAGAGATGGTAGCTAGACATCAGTGTGAGATGGCACTTCTACCCAAGGGCTAGCAGAGGAGCTGCGCTCAGCCCAGGGAATGAATTGTGGAAGGGTTAAAAAGGCTGCTATTTACTCTACTTCACTATTCAGTCCTTTTCATTTTGGCAAACTGCGTTCATGTTCCAAAAGGGTTTATTAGGACCTCATAAAACCCTCTTAGTTACGACCTCGTTTGTGCACCAGCATCATCACTGTTAACAGGAAAGCCCAGGAATTGTGTTTTAGGCTCTGTGTCTGTGACTACTTACACACACGTTTAACTTTATGTACATGAATAATTCCATGAAAATCCAATGCAACTAGTAATGTGCATAACGCAGTTATGCCAATCCCAAACATACAAAAACCATGAGTCAGGCTTCACAATATCATGGGATTAATTTAAAAACCACAAGATTTTTTTTTAAATGTTGGCTTCTATTCCTTTGCCTTCTAGTTTCTCGACACATTTATGTTACTTCAAGTTTTTCTCCACAATCATGGGGGCTAGAAACCTACTTAAATCCCCCCATTCAAATAAATGCTAGATTCTCACAAAATCACAGGACTCAAAGGGTCTGAGTCAAAGCCAACTGAAGTCAATGGGAGCCTTTCCATTGACTTCCATATACTTTGGATCAGGACCTGGAGTTTGGAGGAAGAACTCCAAATATTGTAAGAATCATGATAAAATCTCAAGTTTTGGCAACACATTAAACGTGTAAGAGTATGCCTGCATTGCAGCTGGAAGGTGTGATTCCCAGCCTGGGGAGACAGACTCGCACTAGCTCTGCTTGAGCTAGCATGCTAAAACTAGCAGTGTGGATGTTGTAGCACTGGCAATGGCTTGAGCTAGCCACCCAGGCTCTGACCCAGAAGGTTGGGCAGGCTTGGACTAGGGTAGCTAGCCCGAGCTGCTGTCAGTGCTGCGACATCTATGCCACACTGCTATTTTTAGTACACAAGCTCAAGCAGAGCTAGCGCGAGTCTGTCTACCCATGCTGGGAATCGCACCTCCCAGCTGCAGTGCAGACACAGCCTAAGGGTATGTCTACACATCAATTAAACACCCGCGGCTGGCCTGGGTCAGTTGACTCGGAGTTGCAGGGCTCTGGCTGTGGGGCTGCAAAACTGCTGTGTAGACATTTGAGCTAGGGCGGGAGCCCAAACTGTGGGACCCCGTGAGGGGCGGCGTTTCCAGAGCCCAGGCTCTAGCCAAAGCCCAAATGTCTACACATAGGGTGACCAGACGTCCCGATTTTATCGGGACTGTCCCGATATTTGCTTCTTTGTCCCGCGTCCCGACCAATGTTTGGTCGGGACACTGGACAAAGAAGAAATTTTCCCTTCCGCTCCGGCACTCGCCCCCCCCGCCCCGGCTCCACCCCCT